CTAACCCGTCAGCATAAGATAGGTTGAAAGAGAAGAATTAGCAGAGAAACACATTAGGAAATTTTTTTCAATTGTCTGGATTCCTGTGACTAGAGAGCCCTGACCATTGTGGCTCAGTGGGTTGGGTATTGTCCCATGCACCAGGAGGTTGTGGTTTGATTTCTGGTTAAGGGACATTCCCGGGTGGTAGGGGGCATGTAGGAAGCAGCCAATCGATGTTTCTCTCTCATGTCGATGTTTCTCTCTCTTTCCCTTTGCCTTCCTCTCTCTCTCTAAAAAAATAACAATCAGTGAAAACTTTGTTTTTAAGTATTGTTTTGGAGAGTAGGCCACTACCTGTTATTTGACAGCATTCTGACCTGCTTATGGAAAGAAAAGCAATAAAGCTTATAATTTTTGGACTTGATTAAAGAAAAAGTTCTTAGCAAATTTGTCTGATGTTCTAGTTTTGTTTAAAATGTCTCTACAGTGCTAGCTTCGGCAGCACATAGACTAAAATTGGAGCGATACAGAGATGAGCATGGCCCTGCGCAAGGACGACAGGCAAATTCGTGAAGCGTTCCATATTTTTAAAAAAATGTCTCTACAAAAATGTCTTTGAAGACATTGGGGACTATTGAAGGGTTTGGAAGGTGAGTTCTGGTTTAGATTAGGTGGAACTTTCAGTTGTTAATTTTTTACTGAAGCTACATTTGAAGGTTTTAATTTCTAAATTGCATAAATTGGTTCATGTTTTGCAGTGCATTGGAAACATTTAATGTGTCCTCTCTTCTTGAACAGTATTTTGGTTGAGCTCCTTGAGATTAGGGGATCTGGCTAGGTACCAGCAAAAACTCAATCATGTTTTTGTTGAATTAAATTGTATTAGAGCAGCAAGAAGGGCACCATTTGAGAAGTTCTAAAATACTTTTTCCTGTTTTCTCATTATGAAAAATTTTAAATACACAGAAACTGTTGAAGGATAATACAGTGATCACCATATACCCACCACCCAGATTCAACAGTTGTTTAAGTTTTACTTTTGATTTTTGTTCTGAACCATGTACTAGAAGTTGCAGAAATTATAACACTTCCTCATACTTGTGTGTGCATCTCCTAAAAATAAGATCTTTTCCTGTTTAACCACAGGATTTCTGAGTCGTTCTTGTAGAGATTAGGGTAATAGTGTACTATCTCTATCACCTCTCACCTGTGTGGCCTTGCACAAGTTATTTGATATTTCTGACCTCAGTTTCCTAAGCTGCAAGTACTTATCTCAGGAGGGATATTATAAAGGTTAAGTGTGTGAAATTCTTAGAACCATACCAGGCACAGTTTTCAGTTTATAAAGCATTTTCTCATATAAATTCTCAATGTGGTGAAGAACATCACCCCCCCGCCCCCCGCATTGTTCCCAGAGTGGGAAACTTCTACCTCACCTTCCCCATATGTAGATGTCAACAAAACTCATAATTTCTCCCAATTTTGTCCTGTTCTTTCCATTGCTACTGCAACACTTCTTGTATATCAACAATTTCTTAATCTGTCTTCATCTAGTTCCATTTCCCCAGACTCATCCCCACCTCCTCATCCTTTTCTTTCTTTTTTATTTTGAGAGAGAAAGAGAAGCTTCGATTTGTTGTTCCACTTATTATGCATTCACTGGTTGATTCCTGTATGTGCTCTGACCGGGGTTTGCATCTGCAACCTTGGCGTATTGGGACGATGCTCTTGCCAATTGAACTACCCAGCCAGGGCTCCTCATCCTTTTCCTTACTGCCAGAGTTTATGTTCTCAAATACAAATTTAACCATACTAACTCCCTTTAAAACTCGTTTCCCATCAGCTGCAGTGCAAAGTCCAAATCTCTTTACTCTAGCTTCTACGTACCTTCTGTCTCTGTAGCCTTATCTCTGATTATACACTTCCTCGCCTTCTCCCACCTGACTCTTAACAAACACATGTGCCCCCAAAGTAGTGTGCCACACGTTGTTCTCTAAATATGTTCTGTGTTACATATCTCTGTGCTTTTGCTGATTGGCTTCCTCTGTTTGGAATGCTACCCCCACCTACCATCCTCTTTATGGCTGGCAGAACTTGACTTTTAAGACTAGGTGCAGGTATTTAACTCCTCAGTCGTTCCTTCTCTCTTGTCCCTACTCTACAAGGTAGTCTTATAAGTAGTAGTAGTCTATAAGTAGTAGCATAATACAACATTTTCAGACAGCCATTTATTTGCATGTCTGTCTCAGTCTAGTAGATTAAAAAGTCCTTGAAGGCACACACTAGTTTTTATCTTTTTTTGGATCCCGAGTACCTAATACGTTGCTTGTACCCGGCACAAAGCAAATGTAGATATCATGTCCATGTTTTGTGGATGAAAAAAAATTGAGGTTGAGAGAATATGCATTATGTACCCAATGTAGCAGAACTAATGAATGAAGCATACAGATCTTTAAGGGCCCATTTCAGTACTGCTTTCATTAACTATACTACTTCTAATAATTACAACCATTTGATGAGTGATTCTGTGCTTAGTCTGTGGACTTAGAGCCCCTTAGAGGATCTTAGAGTTCCCACATGAAAGTCTACATTTACAGCGGTTCTCAACCTTCCTAATGCTGCGACCCTTTAATACAGTTCCTCATGTTGTGGTGACCCCCAACCATAAAATTATTTTCGTTGCTACTTCATAACTGTTTTGCTACTGTTATGAATCGTAATGTAAATATCTGATATGCAGGATGTATCTAGGCGACCCCTGTGAAAGGGTCGTTTGATCCCCCAAAGGGGTCGCGACCCACAGGTTGAGAACCACCGGTCCACAAAGTCATATGCATTTTCTGTAGACTGAGTTAGTAAGGTTATATATATGTGTATGTATGCATGTCACCAATTTTTGGAATGTACACAGATGTCCTTGTGACTAATAGTGAATTGTCTTGGTGAAGTAGTCATATTTATATCTTTTGAGAGGAAAGTAGTAGGGGGCTTTAACCATCTAGAAGAGTTGGAATAACATCTTTGCATAGTTTACTAGGGAATTGATAAGGTACAAGAAAGTATTTTTTGAAAGCAATTTAGTTCAGATTAGATGGTAATATCTGAAATTTTCCAAGTCATCAGTAGTTCATTAAAATAAAAGAAAGTTAAAAATTTTCTGAAGCCAAACTTAATTAAAAGTTGTTAAATCTATTTTTTAAAATAAGGTGGTTTTAAATATATTTTCAGCTGGAGCCATAATGTTTAAATTTTTTTGTCTTAGCACCAAAATATTTATTTTATATATATGGATACGTTTTCATTGGATCTCTAAACACATTGAAAGTTCTGTGGTCTAGGTTGTCTTCTCTTTTCAAATCTAAATTCACTACAAATTGTATTTTATCAATTCCAAATAGGTCCATTAAGGGCACTTAAGAATCTGATTGGCTGGGACCACTTTCCCCCAGCTTTATTGAGATGTAATTGAAATATAATGTATATTTAAGGCACATAATGTGATACAAGTATGTATTGTAAAATGTTGACCATAATAAGGTTTAGTCAACACATCCTTCACCTCACATAATATCATTTTCTTGTTGTGTTGTTATGGTGAGAACATTAAAGCTTTATTCTCATAGCAACTTACGAGTATACAATCATAGTGCTTAATTCTTAATGAGAAGTATTTTTCTAAGTTAATGACTGCCTGCTGTCTGGACACAGCGTTGCATTCTGCTCCCTGGGCCACAGGCACTTCTATTGTTGATATAAAGCATTTGTGGTCTGGCAGGCATTCTAGGTTTAAGGGCATAGCTTAAATAATAATGCTTTAAAATATGTGTGCTATTTTAGCTACTAGGTAAACAAGAATTGTGTGATAGCATTCATTCCTTTGGCAAATATTTATTCAAATCCTGCTGTGAACCGGGCCCTCTCCTCAGCCCTGAAATTACAGCTATGAGTGAACCAAACGGACAAGCCTTGGCTCTGGTGGCCCTTACCTTCTGGTGGGAGCCATGCTCTGAGCATGATGAGCATGCAAGTGGGTATCTGTGATAGAATTCTAGATGGGGCAAGTGCTTTAAGAAAAGGCCAGGAGAAGGAATAGGAAGTGGTATTTTCTAGTTTAGAAAGAGTTGTTTGAGAAGGCCTTCTTAAAGAGATATTGAGCAGAGAGGCCTGCATGAAGCAAAGGCCTGATGCAGTAACCTTGCAAAGGTATCAGGAGGAATAGCCTTCCAGACAGAGGATCAGCAGATGCGGAGGCTTTGAGGACTTCCTAGGAGGGAATAGAGTGATCTGATGGAGTTGGAAGGGTACTACTCTACGCCAAGGAGAGAACAGACTCTAGTAAGAAAGGAAGCAGGAGATCAGTTAGGAAGTAGTGGTTATGGAGCTTCAGGTGAGAGATGATGATGGAGTGGTGAGAAGTAGTCAGATTTGAGATGTATTCTGAAAAGTCAACAGACTATGGTGATTGACTGCAGTGTGAAAGAGCAGTCAAGAAAACGCCAGTGTTAGTAAGTAGACACTGGACTTAAAGGATATACACAAGGTTTTTGCAGTGGCTATCTCTGAGCAGTGGCCTTGTTAGGAGCTTTGCTTTTTCCTTATCTGTATTTATCAGTTTTTCTTTACTGAACCCATGATGCTTCTCTAATACAGTAAATATAGGGATTACTTTAAAATTAGAGTTAACCATGCTACTAAATACAGCTTAATTCTTTTTGTTTTAAGATTTTTTTGCTTGATTTTTAGAGGAAGGGAGAGAGAGAGAGAGAGAGAGAAACATTGATGTAAGAGTGGAACATAGATCAGCTGCCTCCTGCACGCCCCCCTACTGGTGAGCGAGCCTGAAAGCCAGGCATGTGCCCTGACCAGGAATCAAACCAGCATCCTTTCGGTGCACAGGATGACACCCAACCAACTGAGCCACACCAGCCAGGGCATGTAGCTTAATTCTTAATGTATTCTGTCCCTTTTGATTTGGTAACAATTTTAGTAACATAACATTTTAAAATTTGTCTTTTCAGTCTTAGTGATCAGCCTTTGTACCTTTTCCACATTTGAAGATGGTGAAGTTAGATATTCATACTCTGGCCCATCACCTCAAGCAGGAACGCTTATATGTGAACTCTGAGAAACAGCTCATTCAGAGGCTCAATGCAGATGTACTTAAGACAGCTGAAAAGTTGTATCGTACAGCATGGATTGCTAAGCAACAGAGAATTAATTTGGATCGACTTATCATAACCAGGTAAATAAAAGATTTTGAGGTCTTTTATAGGTTCTGTGTTAACTGCTAACTGTAAATAAATGAATCTATTTCCAACAAAGTGCTTGCTTTAAAATAGTTTAAGTCAACATTAAGGTGAATCTGCTTATTTTGTTTCTTTTAAATCACTTAACACTGTTATGGAGAATTATAACTTAAGCATTAGTATTTTATGCCACACCAATTAATTTTGTATCTTTATATATATACACATTTTTAAAAAAATATATTTTATTGATTTTTTACAGAGAGGAAGGGAGAGGGATAGAGAGTTAGAAACATCGATGAGAGAGAAACACCGATCAGCTGCCTCTTGCACACCCCTCACTGGGGATGTGCCCGCAACCAAGGTATATGCCCTTGACCGGAATCAAACCTGGGACCCTTGAGTCCGCAGGCCGACACTCTATCCGCTGAGCCAAACCGGTTAGGGCTATATATATACATTTTATCAGTGTAGACAGTAAGTTATCTTTGTTCTACTTTTCTTCTAACATAATTTAATATGTAAATTTCCATGTTTTGCTATTGTATATCTGCTTTTCAGTTTTAGAAACCTTGTTTTTCACTGTGTTAATACCTCATGTTCTGTTGTTCCAAGAAGCAGAAGAAGCAGTTTTTAGCTCTAAGAATAGTGGTACTGAAGCATAATGTTGAGGAAAGAAGCCAGACACAGAGGAGTACATACTCTGTATGATTCCATTTATGTGAAGTTTAAAATGAGGCAGGACTAATCTTTGATGAAAGAAATCAGAATAATGGTTCTTTCTTGGTACTTTTCATTGAGCCTGATTTAATATGAGGAATTTGTTTTTGTTTGTACTTTTTTCTCTCCTTTCTTTACACATTCAGATGCTCATGGTCTGAAAGATTTTAGCAATGAGTGATTTCGTTGGGACTGTAACCAATTCACATTCCATGTTTCATATAGTATATGTGTGATATTATTATTGTTGTTAATTTTATTGTTTTGCTTGTCTGCTCATTTTTTAGTGCTGAAGCTTCCCCTGCTGAATGTTGCCAACATGCCAAGATTTTGGAAGATACACAGTTTGTTGATGGATATAAGCAATTGGGATTTCAGGAGACTGCTTATGGAGAATTCTTGAGTCGATTAAGGGAAAATCCTCGTCTTATTGCCTCCTCTCTGGTTGCTGGAGAGAAACTTAATCAGGAGAACACACAAAGTGTTATATACACAGTTTTTACCTCCCTCTATGGCAATTGCATTATGCAAGAAGATGAAAGCTACCTCCTTCAGGTTTTGAGATACTTGATTGAATTTGAACTTAAAGAAAGTGACAACCCCAGGCGACTTTTGAGGAGAGGAACTTGTGCCTTCAGCATCTTATTTAAACTTTTTTCTGAAGGACTGTTTTCTGCCAAACTTTTCCTCACAGCTACTTTACATGAGCCAATCATGCAACTGCTTGTGGAAGATGAAGATCATTTGGAAACAGATCCAAATAAACTAATTGAGAGATTCTCCCCATCTCAACAGGAAAAACTCTTTGGAGAGAAAGGCTCAGATAGATTCAGGCAAAAGGTTCAAGAGATGGTGGATTCCAATGAGGCCAAACTAGTGACTTTGGTGAACAAATTTATCGGTTATCTCAAACAGAACACATACTGCTTTCCACATAGTTTGAGGTGGATCGTGTCACAGATGTACAAAACCCTCTCCTGTGTAGATAGACTGGAAGTTGGGGAGGTCAGGGCAATGTGCACTGATCTCCTGTTGGCCTGCTTCATTTGCCCTGCAGTTGTCAATCCAGAACAGTACGGAATAATTTCTGACGCTCCTATTAATGAGGTGGCAAGATTCAATCTGATGCAGGTATGCTTTTGTTATTATTTATATGGCATTCAATTTAAAATCAATTGATTAGGCAGTGGGGGTGGGAACAGAAAATGTGATGACAACTACCATTCATAGATTCCTGCCATTCTCTTTCTTTAGACTGTCCTCAATATGTGCTTCTTAAGACATAAAAGCAGCCATATTGCGATTTAAAAATATTCTTGTCATAAAACATTTTGTGTTAGTTTTTAACTGGAGTCCTCGTACATGTGAATGATTAGATTTTCTCTTCCCATGATTTCAAAATCCTGAATGATTGAAAACCGAATCTTTTTACTTCATTTGGTAACAAAACCCAGCCTGAACTAACAGGATATTTATAATTGTTTGTTATTCCACTTAGTGCTGATGAATACTCATGTTTTTCTGCTGAAATGTTAACATGTTTGATTATAGGATGCTAACCTAAGAACTGGACATGCCACATATATGTACTAACCAACCTTTCTAAAGTCCCCAAAATTTGAAATATGAAACTCAGAAAGAGGGTTTTTGGACCCGTATTAACACTTTTCCCCCCTAATTATTTGAAGTACTGAAATCATGTTATTATTTCTTAAGCAAATCTTTTAATCATGTCTTATCACCCAGAAGTACTGTGAAGAAGAAAGACTGAGTTTATTTGGAATAGAATCTATCTTTGGATGAGTGGTGTGTTTTTTTAAATGATAAGTTTTTTTTTATGATAGTTCTATCATATCAGGATATTGAGCAATTAACTATATAGAAATCTCTGAAATAAAATTAAAAAAATTTGTTTTCATCTGTGAAATACTAAATTTATTCTTATGATAATGTAGTTGTAGTTTTATTTTTGCCACTCTAACAGAGATGGAATCACATATTTTCAAAATGAGTAATAATGGGGAGATTGTCCTAGATATTAAGAAGATGATGCTATATGATGTTAACTTTCAGCCAAGTGTCTTTAAAGAGAGTGGGTTAACAGTTCACTTTTGGCAGTAAGGAACTTGCTCTGTGAAGTTTACTTTCCAAACAGCATATGTTTTGTAGAAATTGTTTGCGTTTAAATTTAGAAAAGAAAACATCTACCTGGAGTGCTTTATGAACTATGTAGAGTAAAGTACTTAACAGTAACTTGAAATAGTTTGAGTCAGCTTTTAGAAATTAATTTTAAAGTTTCTGAGCATATGAAAAGTACACCATCAGAAACAAAGGTGTTGTGTTTTTATTTCCTAATGGCGATATAATATGTTAACGAAAAATTAAAGCAAAATCTTCTATTTATTCTGTATAACTCTAAATATAGTAAAAACTGGTGTTGACAGGATACACAGGTGGGACCCTATTTTGTATGTCTGGTCAGGTGTATGAATATTATTATGCACTAGCAAAGAGTGGAAGTGCTTTCATAGAGAGAGGACTTGGTATCTATAACCTGTGTCTCCTCACCACTGCTTTGGGTTGCAGGTTGGCCGCCTGTTGCAGCAGTTAGCAATGACTGGCTCTGAAGAGGGGGATCCCCGGACAAAGGGCAGTCTTGGAAAATTTGACAAAGTAAGAGTGAATACTATGTCATGTGAAATACTGTTTATAGAAAATTCTGCCAAAGTATTAGCAAATCTAACTTTTCCCTTCCTTAAATCTCGTCCTTAGGTATTGTATAAATTAGTCTTTCATTGACTCTTGGTGTAGCTATAGTGCACATAATGTTGGATCAGCAGCTTAATGGCAAATGTCACTAAAGATGACTAATTCTCACTTATAGAAGTGTCGAGGAGATGCTATTGTAATGAGAACCAAGGAGCTATTAAGATTATTTTATTTTTTGCTCTAATCGGTTTGGCTCAGTGGATAGAGCGATGGCCTGCAGACTGAAAGGTCTCGGGTTCGATTCCAGTCAAGGGTACATGCCCAGGTTTCGGGCTCGATTCCCAGTAAGGGGTTTGCAGGAGGCAGCCAATCAATTATTCTCTGTCATCATTGATGTTTCTCTCTCCATCTCTGAAATCAATAAAAAATAAAAAAGATTATTTTATTTTAGGAAGTTTAATTTTAAAAAATTGTCACTAAATCAAATAATCAATAATTTTAAGTGTATTTCATAAATTAGTATATATGGTATTGTTCAATTTAAATAAAATTTTAATCATATTTGAGTAGGCTACATTCAACCTATTATAAAATTCAAAAGTTATACAGTGAAATATCCCTTCCACCTCTGATTACTAGCCTTAATTTCCTCCCCAAAAGGTTATTTTTTTATATATATATATTTTATTGATTTTTTTTACAGAGAGGAAGGGAGAGGGATAGAGAGTTAGAAACATCGATGAGAGAGAAACACCGATCAGCTGCCTCCTGCACACCCCCCACTGGGGATGTCCCCGCAACCAAGGCACATGCCCTTGACTGGAATCGAACCCGGGACCTCTCAGTCCTCAGGCCGACGCTCTATCCACTGAGCCAAACCAGTCAGGGCTCCCCAAAAGGTTATTGACATGTCTTTTGTGTATGCTTCAAGAGTTCTACATGTATGCCAGCAAATTCCTTCATATATTTCCCAATCACCCATCTTTTCCTTTCACAAATGGTTAGATAGTGTATAATCTTCTGTATCATGTTTGTTTCTTGTACCAGAGTATCTTAGAGATTATTCTGTATCAATTCATAGAGAATTTAATTTTTTAAAGGTTAAGTTTAATATCATTTTTAAGAAGAAAAACTTTTTGCATGCTTGTCCACCTTCATCGGAAATTTTGTTCCCTTATCTTAAAGGGGAGGTCTTTCACTGTGATCTTTTCCTGTTTTAACAGAGCTGTGTTGCTGCTTTCCTTGATGTTGTGATTGGGGGCCGTGCAGTGGAAACCCCTCCAATGTCCTCTGTTAATCTTCTGGAAGGATTGAGCAGAACTGTGGTTTATATAACCTACAGTCAGCTTATTACTCTGGTAATGGCTTTATTCTTTAATAGGATTTTCTCAGAAGTCATTTATCTAAGCATGGGCAGAGTCATAGATGAGTACATTGTGTCAGAAATATATATTGGGTATGAAAAATTGATTTCAGTAGCTAATGTCATTTTATTTTTGCCAGGTGAATTTTATGAAGAGTGTGATGTCTGGAGACCAACTGAGAGAAGATAGAATGGCTCTTGACAATTTATTGGCTAACCTACCCCAGGCAAAGCCAGGGAAAAGCAGCAGTTTGGAAATGACTCCCTACAATACTCCTCAGTTGTCTCCGGCAACCACTCCAGCAAATAAAAAGAATCGATTGCCTATAGGTAAAGAGACTTTCTCATATTAGGCTTTGCCTTACATTTAATACTACTTTGTTAGCCTTTGTTATTGCTCAGTGTTTTGAAATATAGTTTTAAATAATTTGGAAACATTTTTCTCCATGTTTACTGGTAGTAATTCAGTTTTTTACAATTGTACTAGATTAATTAAGGTTTAGCAGTAGACTTTTGCTTTATCTAGATGTACTTTTTCATAATTAATTGAAATCATGCCACGTATGGTATGCTTTGTATTTTAGTGTCTTGTCTTGGAAAATTTTGAAAGTGTCAGTTGTTACAACCAGTCATTATTTGAATTATGTAGCCCCGTCCTTTCTACAAAGTTCTGAATAATATAATAAAATAATATTAGAAGTTTCTATCAGTAAAGTTGAAACTACATAGGTACTATTTTTTTCATTATTGTTATAAATAATCAGTCTTTGCCCTAGCTGGTTTGGCTCAGTGGATAGAGCATCGGCCTGCGGGTCCCAGATTCAAGATTCAATTCTGGTCAAGGGCACATGCCCGGGCTGTGGACTTGATCCCCAGTATGGGGCGTATAGGAGGCAACAGATCAATTATTCTCATTATTGATGTTTCTCTCTCTCTCTCTCTCTCTCTCTCTTTCTCTCCCCCTCCCCCTTCCTCTCTGAAATCAATAAAAATATATTTAAAAAGTAATAATAATCAGTCTTTTATCAGCTGAGCAATCTTTTTTAATAAAATAAAGCAAAAATCCTATTTTATTTAGTCATATATTCATTTATTTAAGAATTAGGCTTACATTTTATTCACTTAGTAAACATCTATTATCTATAGATATGCACCAAAAATTTAATTGAGCATATATTATGTACCAGACACTGGGTAAGCACTTTATAAATGTGTTTCATTTAATCTGCATGCAAAAAATCCACTAAAAGAGTAGGTATTATAATCACTGTCCTGCAGGTAGGGTACTGTGTTAGACACTGGGGATATAAAGACCTTAGGACATGTCCGTACTTTAAGTTAGCTGCCCTAGTCTAGTTGGGGAAAACAAAAAGAGACCATTGCCCTTCAGTGTACTGTGTTTGATGGAGATGAGCACAGAGGATTACCGGACACCTAGAGAAGGTGACCCTGGAGCAGGTGAAGCCTGTGCTTTCTCTTGAAGGACGAAAGGGTGTTCCACAAAGTAAACAAGGCAGGGAAAGAGTGTTTAGGCAGAGGGAATGCAGTAGTTTAGCACCATTTTTTTTCATGATAATGAGGAGCTCAGCTATAGTTACTATAGTTTACACATTTGGAAGAATGAGTCGATGTGTTAAGAACTATCAGTTTTGCCCTAACTGGTTTGGCTCAGTGGATAGAGCGTCAGCCTGCGGAATCAAGGGTCCCAGGTTCGATTCCAGTCAAGCGCATGTACCTTGGTTGCGGGCACATCCCCAGTGGGGGGTGTGCAGGAGGCAGCTGATGGGTGTTTCTCTCTCATCGATGTTTCTAACTCTCTATCCCTCTCCCTTCCTCTCTGTAAAAAAAATCAATAATAAAAAAAGAACTATCAGTTTCTTAAAATTAATCTACCTTACATTTAATATAATATGAAATAATATCATCAACAGGAATGTGACATATTCTTCAAGTGTTTGGCTTTCATCATTCCAAAATGTAAATTTTCAGAATTAAAAATAGGAAAAAAAGTTTGACACTCAATGATTTTTAATGTTATAGGCTGTTTTTACTATTTCAGCATGAAGAAATGAGTGATTTTTGGTATATTAGATATTTTTTCTCCATATTCACTGCTATACATTAGTTCTTCCACTTCATAACTTCCAGAAGTATTATTAAATATGGGTAGAATGGAAAGTAAATTTCAGTTTTTCCAGTAGTATTTTGTATAGTCATGTGACTTGGTCATTGAATTTATTTCATATTTTAAAAAATGTGTCCATTATTCAGAGGGTTGATTTTCTTTCTGTTTAATGCTTTCGCAACCCAGGACATCAGTTAGCAGCCATCACTGCCTGGGATTCCTCAGCCACCAATCTTACAGCTCATATTACTCTAGTAACCCCATTTGGTGGGTAATAGGCTGTTCTTACTCTTCATGTGCAACTCTTATTTAAGAAATAATTTATAAAAGTGTGCTCCATGTGCATGTTGCTTTTGCTTTGTGTTACATAAGTTTTGGTCACTTGCATTTTTATAAATTATGAGGTTTGTTACTTAAAATTCATGAAGTTCATGAAGCTGAATTTAAGTTCACAATTCAGTAGAAGATAGTGAGGTGAACCTGACTTTTGACGTGTGCCCTAAAATTTTGAAAGTAAGAGTGATTAATCAACACATCAACAGCATTGTGGAGAGAAGATGATTGTCTATATTTCTGTCTTTAAGTAGCTGAAAGCTACTTAAAGTGAAGTTGAAAGACTTGTTACTATAAAGTGCTTTGCTTTATGTCTGTACTTTTAATTATTTTGCACTGAAGTAGACTTTCTAGTTAGTTTTCTGGTTGCATTGAATTTTTGTTGACCTCTGAAAGAAAATAGAAACTTACCACAGAAGACTAAAACTCACAGAGAAATTATTATAAACTACCCAAATATTTCTGAAGTTCTTGTAAGTTCTATAGGATGGGTTATTTTAGGAAAAAGTATTAGGTAGGGGAAAACATCCCCAAATAATTAGATTCTGTATTAATTTAGAATGTTTCCAGTAAGCAGAAAGGAAACTTGTATTCAAACATTGAAGAATCGCTCCTTTATCTTTGGAAAGAGGTTAATACATTTCAGGAAAACAGTGTGTTTTCAAAAACGGATTCTGGTTTTTCAATATTTACCTAATTAATTACTAATGTACATTACTTTATATGGCTATCAGATTTCTATATGAAATTTTCTAATGCTTTTGAGTTATTAGTATGGGAGACCTGTGGCAGTTAAATCATTTTATAGGAGAAATAATTGAAAGTGTCTTGAACAGATAAGAAATAAGGTAGGTTATGCTGTTCTTGTCATCCCAAGTCTTAAATTGATGGGGGACATGTTCGCTATTCTGTAGGTGTGGTCATCTGTGTGTCACTCCCTGTCAGGTGAACCTGGGTCATTGTTTCTGGTGATCAGTTTTAAAGGAGAATAAGTATTAGTCATCAATAGAGTAACTGGGAAGAGACAGGGTTTTTTTTCTTATTCATATTTTCACCATTCCTTTTGTGTGTGTGCATGTGCAAATGTTCTACATTAATAAAAAATACTTTTGTATTTAGTGTGCCATTTTCTTCATTTTATCTTTTTCTCTAAAATGACTAATTTAACTTTTTTTATCAGCAACTCGGAGCAAAAGCCGCACCAATGTGCTAATGGACTTACATATGGACCATGAAGGATCATCTCAAGAAACCATCCCAGAGGTGCAGCCCGAGGAAGTGCTGGTCATTTCCTTAGGGACAGGTCCCCAGCTTACTCCAGGGATGATGTCAGAAAATGAGGTATGCATGTATTGTTACATTTAACTCATAGCCACCAATGTTTAGAAATGTGGATTCTATTCTTCTAATTAATGGCCCCTTGCTTCTCTCAATCACTATGCGTTGAATGAATATTTTTCATTATCGTCAGTGGGCCTACCAGGACGTACCATCTAGTGCTAAATTTCCTGTGCACAGTGCTGGAGGCCCTGCACGTTGGTGCATTTATGGCACTGTAGTCGGTGGCCAGGCCACACCTAAAGGAAGTTTCCTAATAGTAGAAGAGCCAGGGAGCCAGGAAATTGTGGTATGGAAATTGAAGAGACTTTTCCAGTGACCTGTAGGAAGTGATTTATGTTTATTTTCTATCTAATGATATTCCAGTGGTATTCCTGCTTTAAAGAGCTGAACATTCTTTAGAAATACTTTCTTTCCTTTGGCCAGTTAGGAAGAAATGGAAGAGATAACTGTGGAAAAAAAAAACTAAAAGTGTAAAATATTTTGAAGAAATGGGATTGAGGGTATGGGAATCATTTTTAAGATGTTTGTAAACAAGAGCTTGGGGCAGGGGCAAAGGGAAAGAAGAAATCTTGCCTCTCTAAAGGTAGAACCCCTCCTAATATATTGTGTGTGTCCCCCCCCCCCCAAAAAAAAAGCAACATATTACATTCAAAAGTGAGTGCTTACTATTCAAGAAAACTAGTCCTGGCCTGGGAATAAGGGACCAGTTACAGGGTTGTTAAAGTGATGATGGTCGTTGGCTATGTTTGGAATTGTGACATGACTCATAGGAAAGAGAACTGTCAAAGTCCTAAACTCTGTCCCTATACACACACACAAAAAGAATGAGCTAAAAAAACTGTCAGGATCAACATTTTAGGAAGCCTAGAATGTAATAAAAAACATAACAACCATGGGAATGCTTAATAAGGAAAAAAACGAACAGCTGAATGTCACTCAGCGAGTTCTGTGCATTTACCTTACCATGTTACCTGTACCCAAACCCCAGTTCAGTGGCAGCCTTGAAGACAGCAGTTCGTATTCCTACGCAGGGAAATGATCCCTTTCAGTTAATTCATACCACTCTCTAGGTCTGTTCAAACTCTGGCACTGGTCGGGAGATGGAAGGGCAAAGTTTCAGTTCTTCTCACTGATACTTACTCTTTTCTTCTAGTGGTACTTAAAGCTTGATCAGAACCTTGTAGATTGGTTTTAATTAAAAAATAATTTTAGGTTAAAAATAACTTAAATATGCATTTGCTGTAGTTTGTTTTCTTTCTGTTGTGACAAATCAATGGCATTTTATTTTTTAGGTCCTAAACATGCAACTTTCGGATGGAGGACAAGGAGATGTCCCTGTCGATGAAAACAAACTCCACGGTAAACCTGATAAAACCTTGCGCTTTTCCCTCTGCAGTGATAATCTGGAAGGAATATCTGAAGGTGAAGGGTTACTTCATTCAAGGAGTTGTGTGATTCAAGTAATGTTTTGTTTTGTGTTCTTTAAAGGAGCCTTATAAATTATAATTACACCATCTGTGCCCCTGACTGAGGAGACTAATGAAGTTTTCCTCTAATGATCTTGAACAGTTGGCTGTAAGATTCTTTCTTGAATAAAATTAAGATTGCAAGAAAAAAAATGTTAGAAAAAGATTGCAAGAGACTGATGGTCATAAAAAATGGAGAAGGTCTGAGTCTTCACTGGGACTTGAATAATACCAAGTTTTGTTTCTCTAACGCTGATATATACCAAAGCGAGTAGAGCTCCTTTAGAGGGATGCGATGCATGTCTAAATGGAAAAGAATGGACTCACTGGTGTTTCAGGATGTTGTATGTACTTCTAATGTTCTGCATATTTACACACTCACACCTTTTATGAAGCAGTAAGATAAAATGAAAATAGGAATAAAAAAGAAATTTAAAGGCAAGATTAGGAAGTAAGACTATGTCATTCCATATGCTAGGATCAACTTTTTGTTTTTTTGTTAATCCTCACCTGAGGACATTTTTCCCCCCATTGATTTTTAGAGAGAGTGGAAGGGAGAGAGAGAGAGAGAGAGAAGCATTCATTAGTTGCCTCCTGAATGCACCCCGACCGGGGCCCGGGGCTCGAGCCTGGATCAAGCCTGCAACCGAGGCGGTGGTGCCCCTGACTGGAATCAAATCCAAGATCCTTCAGTCTGGGGGCCAACGCTCTAACCACTGAGAAAACCGGCCTGGGCAAGAGCAACTTTTTTAATGAATAAGTTCAACTTTACTAACATTTTTTTTTTTAATATATTTTATTGTTTCACAGAGGAGAGGAAGGGAGAGAGATAGAGAGCTAGAAACATCGATGAGAGAGAAACATCGATCAGCTGCCTCCTGCACACCTCCTACTGGGGATGTGCCCGCAACCCAGGTACATGCCCTTGACCGGAATCGAACCTGGGACCTTTCAGTCCGCAGGCCGACGCTCTATCCACTGAGCCAAACCGGTTTCGGCAACTTTACTAACATTTTAAAATAAGCATAAAATGTAGTAACTTTTTCTTTCCTCTAATTTTTCAAAGCATAAGTAACAGTTTCATTCTAGAAAATGCTGAAAAGAAATGGAATCATTGTAATCTCATCATTCTGTTAATAACAGTTAACATTTTGGTTCATTTGTAGCAAGATTAAGATTGTGCTGTTTTGTAACCTTTTTTTTTAACAATATAATAGTAACATTTCCCTTGATGATTTAACATTTTTAAATAACGTAGTGTTTAATGGCTGTTTTCTTTCATAGTTTATTTAAACATTCTTCTATGATTAAAGATGTAGATTGCTTCTGCTTTCCACTTATAAGAAGCCCTGAAATAAGCAACCTTAGATGAGTTTTTGAACTGTTCCTTAGGATAATTCTCTAGAGGCAGAATTACTGGCCTAAAGGGCATATATATTTTTAAGGTATAAAAGCAGTATTAAAAGCACTTTAGTCTTTATCTTTAGTGCCTTATAAAGGCATGAAAAATTGCATGATGGCTCACTTACAGTAGAAACATTTCTCTAGGTCCTTCCAATCGCTCCAATTCAGTGTCCTCTCTTGACCTGGAAGGAGAGTCTGTGTCGGAACTGGGAGCAGGACCTTCGGGGAGTAACGGGGCTGACGCTCTGCAGCTACTGGAGCACGAGCAAGGTAAGCTGGAGTGGACACAGCCGCTCAAGGGGCAAGAACTTCCCTGGTTGCCAGGTGAATGATGAGCTGCCATGTAAGTTGGCTGTTGCAGTAAGAATACATTTGATTATATAATGAGCATTAAACTTGCACTTACTCGTAGTTCCTTCAGTTCTTAAAGATGTGGTTAGTTGGTAAGTGAATTGTTTAGACTTGAATTACATAGAATAACTAAAATGAATTTCTTGAATTCTGTAATATTAAAATTTTCAGAGATACAAAGATAGTGGTAAAACCTGAGGTCTCAAAGTATCTGGAATAGGGAGAGAATGGTACACAAATGATTAGTAGTATCATAAGAGTTGCGGTGGCCATTCTGAGTGCGAGATACAGCGGTTGAAAGTGCAGGAAAAGCTTATTGGAAGAAAATATTAGCCTTAAAGCCTGGCTGGCATTGCACGGGCAGAAGCTGGAGATCAGGCATTCTAGGTGAAGGCATGGTATAAGCAAGTCAGAGAGGTGGCAAACCAGGTACTTATCCAGGATCTCCCAAGGAGGGGAATAGTATGAGGGAAGGATTGAAGAACAGCTGGGTCCCTGTTGTGCTTTAGGAAGATTAATTGGAAAAGGGCCTTTGGATTTATTTAAAGATCCCTGGTGTCCTTCTGGGATGCCCTCAACTGGGTTCGAGACTGATTCTTAGACTTTAGTGTGTATAAAAATTACCTGTGGAGTTTTTTTAAAAGCCTACATCTATGGGGGAATAATTCAGTGTTTTTTGGTACTATGTACCCCGTGTTAATTATAAAATATGTAGAATGAAGTTCGAAGACATAAAGTTCTTCCAATTTGATTAAGAAATCATAGCTGTGCTACCATTTTTTAAATGCTTAATTTTGTTTCTGATAGCCACAACACAGGATAATCTCGATGATAAGCTGAGGAAGTTTGAAATCCGTGACATGATGGGACTGACGGATGATAGGGACATATCAGAAACAGTGAGTGAGACCTGGAGCACAGATGTCTTGGGAAGTGATTTTGACCCTAACATTGACGAAGATCGTTTGCAAGAAATTGCAGGTAATTTCTATTTAATGTCTCTGGAATATTGCTTATTTCATGTCCACCACCCTTCATGGGAGGGAACTTCAGTGCTCTGACAAATGTGGTGTGTGTGTTAGCCCTAACTGGGAAACTGAGACAGCTGCATATAGCCAGGCATTCGTGTATTTTTTCTTTACTTAAATATAGGTATGTTTTTTCTGTCTACATTTAACTTCACCCCCAACCCCCAAAAGAGAAAAACCAGTCTTTTGAATTAGCTTCTCGTCCAGTCTTGTTTGTAGGGCATAGTATATGTTCTTAGTCTATAATTAGGATGTTCTTTAGAGACGAAACACCTACCTTAAAATGAAAATTCTGACAGATTATAGCCATAAAATCTTTCGGAATAATATGATACTGAGAGCCTAAAAATTGAGTTTACTTCTGGAAGTATTAATTCAGTTCCAAAAAGTAACTAGTTTTTAAAAGAATGTATTTTTATTGATTTCAGAGAAGAAGGGAGAGGGAGAGAAAGAGAGAAATATCAATGATGAGAGAGAATCATTGATTGGCTGCCTCCCGCACGCCCCCTGCTGGGGATTGAGCCCGCAACCTGGGCGAGCATTTCAAACCGGTGAGGGTGGAAAAGTAACTAGTTTTGTCTTTTTCCTTTTTTACATCAAGTTTATTGATGCACAGCTTACAAACATTAAAATTCACCCTTCTTTGAGTTCTGAAAGATACCTTCTTCATTTTTTAAAAAATCATGGAACATTTCAAACAAGTACAAGAGAGAATAGTGTAATAAACTTTATGTACCCATCACTCAGCTCTGACAGTTACTCATACACGTGGCTAGTTTGTTTCATCTCTTCTCCCACCCACTGCCCTTTATCCCCTCCCCAATTATGTTCAGATATTATATTTATAATTATGTCATGGGGGTAGGGGCAGGGTGGAGGGGGTCAATGGGGGGGAAAGGGGAACATTTATAATACTTTGAACAATAAAGATAAATTTTAAAAAATTATCTGCCAGCCAGGCCAGAACTTGAGTATTTTTAACACAGGTGTACAGTAATGTTTAATCCTGTATGTATTTTTAAGTAGTGTAAATAGATTTCTTAATTGGTTTCTATATTACTTTGTTCCAGATGCTAAGTATTTAGTATTTTTTCTGGCAGTAAGCTGTATTTCAGCAATAAGCTGCATTTGCAGTTAAACAAGTACTACAGAGGTGGTGTGTTTTCCTGCAAATACATTTTATTGCTCTGAATATGTGGCTAATGTGCCAGAAGAGAACATATTTTGGCCAGTGTAACTCGATGTGGTTAAATGTCTGAGTGGTTTTAATCCTTGTCGGACTATAAATTTGAGAGAGTTATTGGGGACACACACAAAAATCTGCTGAAAAACCAAGGTGAAAGCTAGTTGAAATGACTTGATCCAACAATGTGTTTTCTCTACGGAGAGTTCAAGGTGCACAGGCGGCAGTGGGTGAAAAAGAGCTCGTGTCACTGTGACCACAGGGGAAATGTGCGTGTTTAGTGGTGTTATTGATTGAAATTGCTCTTACCGTGGCTCCTTTCTTGTGGCTGGAGTAGAGAGGTCTGTGAGCGTTAGTGTTCGGCTTTTCTCCGTTATTGTGCGCTCTCCATCAGGACCTTTGTTAACCCTTTGCTCCCCACTGGTTATACAGGTGCAGCAGCAGAGAACATGTTAGGCAGTTTACTGTGCCTGCCAGGGTCAGGGTCAGTGCTTCTTGACCCCTGCACTGGTTCTACCATATCAGAGACAACAAGCGAAGCTTGGAGTGTAGAGGTTTTGCCAAGTGACTCAGGTTAGTATGCTGTCATTTGCATTTTGATTTGCACAGACGTTTAAATGTAAGGTATTCTAATTTCTATATGATGGACATTTTGTCAGATATACCTTTGACAAGTATGAGGCAATCCAATTGCTAAGAATGTCACATGGAAAATTAGCGTAAGGCATTTTCTTTCATCAAGAAAAAATGCAGTTTTGAATGGCATGGGCTAAGATGGCAGGTGCTGTCTGACTGTTCAGTTCTTTTGGAAGCAACTGTTAGTAACTCATCAGGGTTCTGTGTGGATTGAGTCCAGTCTCTCCCATGAACTCATCACAAATAGGAGCCCTGAGTGGTTGGATACCTGGTAAGCATGTTTAGATTTACATGGGGAGAACTTGACCCTTTAAAGATATCGAATGTATTTTTGAAATGTGCTGAAATTCAGACTCTGGAGTACTGCAAATTATTTTGTGCACAATTATTATAAATGTATATGAAGTGTTTTGTACTTTGTTTTTTCTTATGTATTGCATTTCTACTTTCCCCCCTGATTATGAAGATAAATCTTTGCCTTCAACTAAATGTCAACTACCAGAATGCAAATATAAATAACTATGTCTGAATTACATTCTGTCTGATCTGCTTGGCTCAAGAATAATATAGTGATCCTATATATGTTGAATAACGTTAACATATTCAGACATGCTAAACTTACATAAGAAGACAGTAGGATTGGCTCACTACCTGTTGAGCATCCATAGGAGTTGTTTTTTAGAAAGTGGTTGATTTAATGCTAGGTTATTTCATATTCTCTTGTTTAGTTGACTTGCTAACCAAGAACACACACTGTGAGATTAGTGACCTGGAAGAAGTTTTCATTTTTGCACAACTAACTGGCCTAGATTGGGGATGAAAATAACAACCTTGACTTTCTTAACACTTGATCTTACTAACTTTGCTAACTGGCCCAGACTTAGAAATCTATTTACACTGATTTCATTCATACCCTGGTAGCTTTCATCATCTGGGTCACAAGCTAAACCTGGCATGCTAACAATCACTAATGTGACACCTCACGTCTTCTGTTTAGAGGCCCCAGATCTAAAGCAGGAGGAGCGTCTGCAGGAATTGGAGAGCTGTTCGGGACTGGGTAGCACATCTGATGATACGGATGTCAGGGAGGTCAGTTCCCGCCCCAGCACACCAGGCCTCAGTGTTGTGTCGGGTATGTCTGTCTTGTTTTAAGGAATAAGGATTTCAAGGTGTGTTCCCACATCTCCATTTGTAAAGTTGATAGCAAAGAGATATGTTTTATTTAAGAGCTGAGTAATTTTCAGGAAACAAAATTATTTCTATGGGCCCTTAAATCTGAGAGTTTAATGTGTAGCTTTAGAGAGCCTGTTGAAGTAACTGGCAAACAGTCTGGATGTGTTCCCTCTATAGCTCTCTCTGTTCTTGGTAGCTCCGTTACTGTGTTTAGATAGCATGTGATAATTCTGGTTATGTTGCACAAGTCCAGGCAAATGTATTTAAGCAATAACTCACATGTATAGAACTAGGGCACAAAAATTTGAGAATATTTACATTTCTCCAAATCTCATATACTTTTTGTGTGGTTATTTTATTCTTCTTGCTGTTTATTTTTTGCTTTCTTTTTTAAAGGCATAAGTGCAACCTCTGAGGATATTCCCAATAAGATTGAAGACCTGAGATCTGAGTGCAGCTCTGACTTTGGGGGTAAAGATTCTGTCACTAGTCCAGACATGGATGAAGTAACTCATGGTAAGAAGGGAAAAGGAGATGACTTTTTAAACAGTCACATTCATGGTGAAACTGGCAGTCTTACACATTGCTGGTGGTGATATCAGTTGTTATAGCACTTTGGGGCATAATTTGGTGATACGTATGTAAGACCTTAAAAGTTCACATACCAGATTTGGTCCACTTTAGGAATCAATCATAAGGAAATAGTTCCATGTATGGAGAATGTCTTATGCACAGAGATGTTCTTCATAACATTAATATTTGCAAATAATTTAGAAACAACCTAACCATTAAAAATGAGAATGGCTAAATGAATTTTGATATAACCACTTATTAGAATTTATGTAGTTATTTTTTATTTTTATTTTTTAAATATATTTTTATTGATTTCAGAAAGGAAGGGAAAGGGAGAGAGAGATAGAAACATCAATGATGAGAGAGAATCATTGATTGGCTGCCTCCTGCACGCCCCACACTGGGGATCGAGCCCACAACCTGGGCATGTGCCCTTAACCGGAATCGAACCTGGGACCCTTCAGTCTGAAGGCTGATGCTCTATCCACTGAGCCAAACCAGCTAGGGCTGTAGTTATTTTTTAAATGCTTTAAAGTATGTGAAATAACTTGGAGAAATAGAACATATCATTTGGAAATTGTATTTTATTTATCTATTTTTAAAAAATATATTTTTATTGATTTCAGAAAGGGAGAGGGAGAGAGAGATATAAAAATCAGTGATGAGAGAGAATCATTGATCGGCTGCCTCCTGCACACCCCACATTGGGGATCGAGCCCGAAACCCAGGCATGTACCCTGACCGGGAATCGAATCGTGACCTCCTAGTTTATAGGTCAACGCTCAACCACTGAGCCATCCAGCCAGGCAGTAGTATTCATATTAATATGAGTTATTTTATAAATTGTCATTTGCTGAGAGCAGTATTAGAATTTTAAATTTTCCAACTTTTTTTTTATTCTTCTGTAGGTAGTGTTGCCCCTCTTTTTAAAGGCAGAAGCTGAACCTCAGGGAAGTTGTGACATTCTGAAAATTTTGAAGATTTACATCTGCCTCTGTGATCTTTGCATTAACTATGGGATATAATTTGTCCATCAAAAGTAGCAGGCAGATAGACCACTTAAATGTAATTAAAATCCATATATGTACCAAGAAACCAGAAACACCAATCAGAAAGGATATATGCATCCCTATGTTCATAGCAGCCCAATTTACCATAGCTAAGATTTGGAAACAGCCTAAGTGCCCATCAGCAGATGAATGGATTAGAAAACTGTGGTACATCTACAC